CGCACACACACACACACACACACACACACACACACACACACACACACACACACACACACACACACACACACACACAACTGCAGGTGATGAGCAGTGCGGCGACTTCTGCAATCCAAGCGCACGCCGGTTCGTCTCCAAAGACTTGTCGGACGAAGAGAACCACTGGCCGCGTCTGGTTGTGGACTTTACGCCCCCCAACACTGACTATGCCGCTTGCTGCACCACCGAAGGAAACTGCAGACTTAGTGCGTTCAAGGCTCTATGTGTCTATTGCGTGGTTGTGACCTGACGCGCGCGCGCGCGTGTGTGTGTGTGTGTGTGTGTGTGTGTGTGTGTGTGTGTGTGTGTGTGTGTGTGTGTGTGTATGCGTGTGTTGCTGCAAACGCAAACGCGTGTGCGTGTTGCGCTGTTCCTCTGTACATGTGCGTGTGCAAACTGGGTCACATAACGCTGCTGCTGCACCATTTCAACTCGCTCTTCTCACACGTGTTGCTCTGTATTCACGTCACTTGCAGCGACACCGGACGGGTGCACCGCCATCAAGGGCAAGTACAACGCAGGCACGTTGTCATGCATGGGCGTGCAATGCTCCGTGGAGTGCACACCAGAGGAGATTGCCATTGGCGCGTGCCAGCTCGGCGCCTGCTGCACGGAGGACCTGCAGTGCGTCATCACCACTGAGACGCGCTGCAAGGGCGCATACAAGGGCCAGTACAACGGCGATGACACGTGAGCGCGCAGTGTGTTGGCTTTCGTGTGTTTGTGGTTGTGCGGTTGTCATGCATTCCGTGTTGTGATGTGCGGCAGGTTTGCAAGATTCTTCTGTGGACGTGGACGTTTGGCTTCCACAGCCTGTCTCACTGCCTGACACGTGCCTCTCAACATTGTTCCTCACTCAACTATCTGGCTACCCTTCACACCTTCCTTGGTCTGATTCAAACCCCTCCCCCTTCCCCCTGTTTTCTCATTTTTTGTTTTTGGTGTTTTGTTTCCCCACTCGCCAACTGTGCAGAACGTGCAACTCTGAATCGTGTGCACTTCGCCTGGAGCCGTTCGTGGACGCTCTACCCATCCCGCACGTGGCCCAGCCGTACGAGGGCCGCGCAGGTGGCAAGGCAAAGTACATATTCACCATCGATGAAATCCAACAGGTGTGTATCTGTGTAGCTGTCTTTGTCTGTGTGTGTCTGTGTATGTGTGTGTATCTGTGTATGTGTATCTGTGTGTGTATCTGTGTATCTGTGTATCTGTGTGTGTGCTTCCATATAAGCATCTTGCTGTCTCTCGACCTTCCACTGCCTTCTCACTGCGTTCCAACAACCTTCCAACTACCTTCCAACTGCCTTCCCGCTTCCTGCTATCACGGTAGAAACTGCACCGCGACCTGCCGCCCACAACCCTGTGGGGATACAATGGCATGTTCCCTGGCCCCACACTGGAGGCCTGGACCAATGATCCAGTCACAGTCACGTGGGTGAACAACCTGCGCGACGAGAACGGTGTGCTGCGCACGTCCCACTACCTTGATGTGGACGAGTGCATTCATGGGCCATCTTTCAGCCAGAAGGTTCCCTTTGTCGTTCCACACTTGCACGGTGGCAAGGTAAGCACAACCCTCGCGTGCCATGGCTGTGTATTGCCAACCGCTACGCTGCACCCGCCACTCTTCTCGTTGACCAACGACAAATGCACACGCCCCTACCACCCATGTCGACATCACACACGCACTCACGTCAACACGCACGCACATCTCCGCAGATGAAAGGGCGGTGGGATGGCCATCCTGACTTCCAGTTTCCACCCGGCGTCAACGACACGTATGTCTTTGACAACGAGCAGCGTGCCAGCACACTCTGGTACCACGATCACGCCCTCGGTACGTTTGCATACGTTTTGTGCATCCAGGTGCTCTCGTGTTCACCTGAGGGTATGCATGAGATGCGTTTGCTCACAACACGATCATTTGTCGCTAACATCGTTGTCGCGGCGGGTTTGCTTTGCTTTCACATGCACGTGCCCAAAGGCATCACGCGGTTGAATGTGTACATGGGCCTGGCGGGTCTCTACATTGTTCGTGACGAGTACGAGACAAAGCTGCAGCTTCCGTCCGGGAAATACGAAGGTGTGAGAAAAGGGAGATGCGTTTGTGTGCATTGGTGAACACTATAATTTGTGTATGTGTGTGCGTGTGTGTGTGTGTGTATGCGTGTGTATCTATGTGTGTGTGTGTGTGCTGATGTGAAATTGCAGCATGGTGTGGGTGTCTGTCTGGTGCTACATGCGCATATGTGCTCTGCACGCTTCTTCGGTGTTCAATGCCATCGCGTGCTTGTGTCACCTTACTCCACACTCGCCACGATTGCGACCTCTTTGTCACACTCACACTGCTTCGATTCACCACACGTTTCCCTCCAGTGCCCATTGTGATTATGGATCGCCAGCTGAACCGCGACGGCACGCTGTACTACCCCTCGCTTTGGACTGGCGCCTTTACCGGTGACTTCCTTGTTGTCAACGGCAAAATCACGCCTTATCTTCGCGTCGAACGTCGCGCGGTAAGTGCTGCACTCTGCTTGCTGAACGCAGCTGCGCATGTGTTTGTGTACGCGTATGTGTATGTGTATGTGTATGTGTATGTTTGTGGTGTGTGGCGCTGTGCTGTGTTGTGCTGTGCTGTGGGTATTATTTCTTATCTCACGACATCGTTCGCTCCCCTCCCCCCCCCCCCCTTCTTTCCTTTGTCCCTGCCACCCTGCCTCCACTCTGCCTCCGCTTTCAGTACCGCTTCCGCATCCTCAATGGCTGCGGTACGCGTGCGCTTGAGCTGAAGATGGGCAAGGGCAAATTCTGGGTCGTTGGCACCGAGCGGGGCCTTCGCAGGGTACGTTGATTGCTGCTGTTGTTAGTATTCATGTTTGTTTGTTTGTTTGTTTGTTTGTTTGTTTGTTTGTTTGTTTGTTTGTTTGTTTGTTTGTTTGTTTGTTTGCTTGTTTGTTTGCTTGTTTGTTTGTTTGTTTGTTTGTTTGTTTGTTTGTTTGTTTGTTTGTTTGTTTGTTTGTTTGTTTGTTTGTTTGTTTGTTTGTTTGTGTGTCTGTGGCGGGGATGCGTCTGCTACTATGCGCTCCTCAGTGCAGCCGCGACCTAAGCACTCTCAGGCGTGCTTTCTCTTTGCTTACATGCCCACCGCTACCCTGACTTCATTGTTATCGCACCAACAGAAACGCTGGAAGACAACGCGCGTGCTCCTCGTTCCTGGCGAACGCATTGACGTCATCGTCGATTTCTCATCCGTGAGTGCACAAGCAGCGATGTACCTGCATTATTGAACTCGCAGCGGTGTGCTGGGGCAGCTCATCTGTGCCTTCTTCGCTGCCGTTGTCACTGAATTTGTTTTGTCATCTGCGCACCCGTACACTCACTTCTGCCTGCACTGTCTCCTGCACTGTCTCCTGCATCACTTCATTTTGTGGCCCGTGTTCACAGCGCCGTGTTGCCGAGAAGATCCGCCTTGTGAACAAGTACCCCCGCAGCCACGCGCCAGGGTCCCCTCCGTTGTCTGAGGATGTGCTGGAGTTCCACGTGATTGAGAGCGAACCACAGCCCAAGTACAAGGTGCGTACACTTTGCACTGTACTTCGTGCAAGTGCACCATCTGCTGTTCATTCCCTGCACCTTTTCCCACGTGTACGCACGCCTTTATATTCATTCACACATGCATTCCCGCCAATGTACCTTTCTTGCACGACAGCCGCCAAAAGCCCTGGACACGTCTGTGAAGCAGCTTCCAAGCAGCGCCAACATGGTCAAGCGCGAGTTTACCATGGGAGAGGTGCGTTGTCTTGCCCTGTGCACTGTGTGGCTATTGTGGCTTGTGACTTGTGCTCGCACAAGAGCATCTGTGTGTGCGTGTGTGTGTGTGTGTGTGTGTGTGTGTGTGTGTGTGTGTGTGTGTGTGTGTAAGTACCACCATTCTTTCTCAAGTTCAAAACGTCAGACTCACCAGCACGTGTTTTGTTTGCTTGTTGTGTAACTTGCCCTGTGCAATTCGGTGTAGATGCAAGAGGAAAAGTGCAGTGGGAAGGTGTACCGCATCAACGGGCTTGGATGGGATGATCTCACAGAGTTCCCACTTGTCGGGTCGCGAGAGGAGTGGACGTTTGTCAATCTGGACTCCACCCACCTCCATCCCATGCACATGCACTTGGTCGAATTTACTGTGCTGCGTCGCCAACCCATCCAAGTCACTGGTGACGGCACGTACGAACTCGTGGGCGAGCCGTCGGGCCCACTCAAGGGGTGAGTTTGTTGCGTGTTGCTTGTGTGTGTGTGTGTGTGTGTGTGTGTGTGTGTGTGTGTGTGTGTGTGTGTGTGTGTGTGTGTGTGTGTGTGTGTGTGTGTGTGTGTGTGTGTCAGTATGTATGTGTGTGTGTGCATGTGGGTTGTGCTTTGTGTCTGCTGGGCGCTCGGGGAGGTTAGCTATGTGTGTATGTTGCGCGCGTGCTCTTACATGTTTGGGTTTTGCCGCACATATCGCAGGGATCTTGGCTGGAAGGACATGGTTGGTGTATTTCCACTTGAAGCCGTAACAGTCATTGTGCAGTTCCCAGACAAGGGCGGTGGACGTTTCCCATACCATTGCCACATTCTGGAGCACGAAGATCACGACATGATGCGACAGGTACACGAACAGCATACGCGTCATTCCTGCTGTGTGTATGTGTGTGTGTATGTGTTTGCAAGGCGCACATCTTGCTTCCGCGGCTGACGTGACGCGTCCCCCCCCCCAAGGGTTCGTTCCTAACGCCTGCTTGTCCGTCGGGTTTTGCGTTGCGGTCTTGCAGTTCCATTTGCAACAGCTTCATTGCAACAATAATGGCATGTGTGAGCCTGGCGAAGACTGCTACTCGTGCCCCTTTGACTGTGCCACCTCCTCCGGTGCGCGCTGTGGCAACGGCTTATGTGAGGCTGGCGATGGCGAAAACTGCGCCAACTGCCCAGATGACTGCGCGGGCGATGTTGGCGCCATTTGCTGCGGCTACGGTCCGATTGAGTTTGACGGGTACGAGGCTGGTATGACCACGATTGGGTGCTCGCACGACATCTGCACCGCGGATGGACACTTTTGCCGCGACAAGCCACAGGTGCATATCTTTTGAGAGTCTGCGTGTGTGTGTGTGTGTGTGTGTGTGTGTGTGTGTGTGTGTGTGTGTCGGTGTGTGTGTGTGTCGGTGTGTGTGTGTCGGTGTGTGTGTGTGTGCAGGTCATTCGTGATGTTCTGTGGTCCTTGCGTCATGTTCAGAATGCTGGCTTCTTCTCCTCTCCTGTGTCTTGGCGATGCCTCCCTTGCCCACCCCCACAACCGCCAAACCTCTCTCACACGTGAACCCCCTTCCTTGACTGCTTGTTCCTCTTGCACATTGCCCTTTGTGCGAGTGCAGATACAGTCGTGCTGTGGCGATTCCTTGTGCACGGGAAACGAGGAGGAGACATGCGCACTCGATTGTGCGTTGACCCCTGCAGCCCCATCATGGCGCATGCCATCACTGTAGACAGCAGCGTAATTTAATATTGAAGGTGGTGGCTGTGTGGACTGACCGACGGTTGAACGCTTGAAGTCGTTGAGCAATCCCCTCTTTACCCAACTACACCACGCTCTATCACTATCATTGTGTCTGTGATGTTGAGATGATATGAACCATCCATATGATATCACAACTTTGGCGCACCGTTCTTTTAGCCTTTTGTTTGTACGATGTCACGCGCTTGTTTTGTTAATTCCTTGCTTCTGTCATTCGCACGTCTATTCGCCTCCGCCTGCTGTACATCTGCGCTGCCTGCGCTGCCTGCGCTGCCTGCAAACGGGTTGGTAACATCTGTTTCCTTTCCCAGCTTAGCTGCAAATGCAAATACACTCTTTATTGCCTTTCGTTCTTGCTCGCCTCTCGTGTCCTTATCTACCAACAATGAAATGGACAATCGACCGACTCCACTCACAGTCAAGAAACAAAGCCGCGTATAAGGACAGAACAGAGCAGATGCCGTTGACGTCGAAAGGAAAACGACCTTGTGGATGCATGCGTGTTCCCAGCTCTCACACGTACTCGCTGGTGCACGCTGACTCAGCCATCCAGTGCAGCAATGCAGCTGACAGTAGCTTGCTTGCTGGGTGGCTGAATTCTCTCCACATCAATAAAACAAACAAGTTCTGAACACATTTGAGTTGAGGCGTGTTTCTGGACGCCAACAGTGTTGTGACATGGGAACAAGAGGGAGCTGTATCTTGCCCACGAGGCTACAAACGGCCAGCACAACTTATTATGTTGGTTAGCGGTTGTGCTTAGAAGGCTTTGTTGTGTTGACTCACAACAAACAACCTGGAGACGAGCCTCAACTTCAAGCTGTCGTTCATGACGGCCATTGGACTGAGCCTGGTGGCCTGCCCCGTGGTCTCCGCGGGTGCCCTTGCGCACATGCGGACGCTGGCCACGGAGGACTACTGCGACAACGTGCTGCTGGAGTGGATGACAATGCTGGCGCTGCGCGACCACGTGCACGCACACGGCGACGACCCAGCACAGGTCCGGCTGCGGCGCATTGTGCCGCTCTTCCTCGGGAGCGCGTGGCTCAACAGCAACAGCACCAGCGCGAGCAGCGACAGCGGCAGCGGTCTCGCGGGGGAAGGCAGCACTGGCGATGGGGGCGGGGATTCCTTTGGCGCCATCCGCGATGTTGCGATGACGCTACCGGACGTCGTGAGCAAGGAGACGGCTGCGTCGCTGGACCAGTACTTTGCGCAAGTGCTGCACGCGCCGCCGCCCAGCAAGCACCGGAGTGTGCGGGAGGCCGTTCTGGCGCTGTTTGACATTGACGCCGTGGTTGGCGTTGGGACGCAGGGCGGCGGCGACAGCAGCCGGGCGGTGCAGCTGCGGTCGCACGCGGACACGGTGCGCAAGGTCGTGGCGAATGCGCGGGAGGAGCACGCCGAGAACGGCGGCGGCAGTGATGGTGGTGACGAGGATATTGATGGTCGTGGTCGTGGTCGTGGCAAGGCAGGAGGCAGCAGCCAGAGGGCAACCGGCGATGCGGAGCAAGCACCTCGTGGTGCGGCGGCGGCAAAGCAAGGGCAGCAGGGTGCACGCCACACATCCTCAGGCGGACCGCCACGCGGCTTTGCGATGAACCGTGACCTGGAGCAGTGGCTGGCGGAGCTGGATGTGTTGGAGGACGTGTACGATGCGTTTGCGCAGCTTGGCATCAAGACGTTTGACATGCTTGAGCTGCTCGTTGAGGCGGGGGACGTGACGGCGGCGTCGCTGCAGGGGCAGGGTGTTGCGGTTGCGCCTGCGCGGCTGGTGGTGCAGCGGGCGAACCAGCGCCGCCGTGCTGCACGCGGCGCGGCACCAAAGCCAAGGGTCTGCATGCTGATCTAGCGGCAAAGGGGAGGGGGGGGGGAGGAAGCGGAGGAAGGGCGTGTGTGTGTGCATGCGTGTATGTGTGTGCATGCGTGTATGTGTTTGCGTGTGTGTGCGCATGTGTAAATGCGTGTTTGCAGTTTGAGGGTCGTCCCAAATGTTGGTCAACGCAGCTGTTCTGGATCGTGCAAGGCGACTACTTTGCATGACGTAACATGGCCCTGTTCACCTGCTCATTGCAGCGCCCAATAAATGCTCCCTCTAAACATGCAAGCAAGCTCGTATGTCATGTACTGTAACAGAACACACCACCACGCGCACACACACGAACGCGCACACAACGCTCTTCGTCACCGTTGTGTTTGTGTCACGGCCTAGAATTCAAGGTTTTACCACAGCGAGCGATGATGGTTCTGGAACAGTGAAACCCAGTATTGCAGGCACACATGCACACATACGTCGCGTCACATTGACACACTCACTCACACATACATTCACTCACTCACTCACATACATTCACTCACTCACTCACATACATTCACTCACTCACTCACATGTACAGACAAACACACACATACACACACACACAGCCATGCCACGCATGAACAAGAAGCTTGGCGTCGGCGCCGTCGTCTCGTGAGCAGATGATCACACATTCATCCTCCTCCTCCTCCTTCAGCATGTTGGGGTAGCGGCAGAACTGAGAGCACACGCGTGACAATGCATCGGCCAGTTGTTGGGCGCACAAACAAGGTTTGCTGTTCGCATTCTCGTTCTCACAATCAGTTGTGAGTGTGACTGGCTGCGCGTTCGCATGATGGTGTAACAACCAGAAAGAAACGGAAGACAACAAGACAAAGACACGACTGGAGCACGGCGCATAGACAAAACCACAACTTCGACATGCATGGAACAACAAGATAAGAAAAGGAAAGGACGCAACCACACAGGGCAATGGAACAAGAACAAGGGTGCAAGAAAGCAATGCATGCAGGCAAGCACGAAGAACATTATGGAGGGAATAAAGTAAGAACATGACTGTCACTGACACGCGCACTCACAAGCACACCCTGCAACCAGCATCATCGTCCGTCCATTCACGCGTGCACACACGTACACGCGTAAACGCTCGTCAGAGCACACTGCAGCAGCCACCAGAGTCATTTGCCCGAGAAGAGGGAACCGGGGAACTTGTTGTCTCCTCCCCCTGACTACCCAGGCGTCGTGCGTCAACGTGAGCATATGCGACTGCGCCGAGAAATCGCATGAGCAAGTTGCGTTGTGCAGCAGACGACTGGTACACAGCAGCAGACGAGATGAACCGAAGAAGAAGGTTGCGATGTGCAAGCACGTTCCGCTGCTGAAGTCGAGAGACCGGCCCGTCTTGTTGCGTGGATGAATCCTGGTGGTTCATTGTACCACCACGAATGTGCCGCAGGTTGCGCTCCGCCATGCGCGTGTGTGGGTGGTCTGGCCCGAGCGTGGCCGTGTACACTTCGAGCGCTCGCTGGATGTAGGCGCAGGCCTGCTCCTTATCGCCGCGCTTGTCGTGCAGCACGCCAATGTTGGCCAGGGTCATCGCTGTGCCTGGGTGCTTGTCGCCCGCTGTCTCCACTGTGATGGCAAGGGCGTTCTCGAAGCAGGCAATCGCCTTGTCGTACTCGCCCTTGCTGGCGTACGTGCTGCCAAGGTTGCCGTATGTCATCGCTGTGTTTGGGTGACGTTCGCCCAACGTCTCCACCTTGATGGCGAGAGCTTTCTCATCAAACTCAACCGCCTTGTCAAACTCGCCCTTGTTCCTGTAGGCACTTGCGAGGTTGCTGTATGTGTCTGCCGTGCTCGGGTGCTTCTCGCCCAACGCCTCCACCTCGATGGCAAGGGCGTTCTCGTACTGCTCAATTGCTTTGTCGTGATCGCCTTTGTGGACGTAGGCGTTGCCGAGGTTGCCATACGTGCCGGCAGTGCTCGGGTGCTTCTTGGCCAATGTATCCAACTTGATAGCGAGCGCCTTCTCGTAGCACTCAATTTCCTTGTCGTACTCGCCCTTGTCGCCGTAGGCGTTGCCGAGGTTGTTGTACGTCTGGGCCGTGCTGGGATGCTTCTCGCCCCGTAACGCGACTGTGATGGCGAGGGCCTTCTTGGTGTACTCAATTGTCCTGTCGTAATCGCTCTTGTGTCGGTAGGCAATGCCGAGGTTGTTGTACAGCGTTGCCACACTCTCTCCTTTATCTCCTTCTGTGCGGAGGTGAATCGGCAGGGCTGTATTGTAGTACGCAATGGCGCGATCGTGCTCGCCAAACTGGACCAGCACGTTCCCAACGTGGTTGCATAGCTCAGCAAACGCTTTCGTCTTGTCCTCGCCCCGAGCCTGCATCACCTCCACAGCAGCCACCGCCTTCTCCAGACACCATGCCCGAAGCTGGTCCTTCACGGCCTGGTTGAGAGCCGCAAAGCCCACACCGCCCCGTATGGCTTTGAAGATCATGTCCTTGTCACGCGGGTTGAAGGCCTCGGCCCGCTCAGCCTGCACGCGCACCAGCATATCAGTCACCACCTTCGAGCGTTCTCGGATTGCCTCTTCCAGCGCCTTCTCCTCGCTGTTGGGGAGGCGGATGTTGAGCTCTGTGCCCTCGTTGCTGATGCCGCAGAAGATCTCCCACAGGCACCACGCGCGTGTCAAGGGAACAGGATCACGCCACGGCATCAACACCAGCAGCACGCGCCCAATGTTGGCAATCGACTCCTTGAACGTCGTGCTCCACCTGTTGTAGGTTGGTGTGTGAGGGAATTGGGGTGTATGGGACAGGAGGAGAGGGCGTGATGTGAGGAAGTCGGAATATGCAAGAAACGGTAAGGTTGAGTTCAAATCACACACACACGCACACGCACACGCACACACACACACACACACACACACACACACACACACACACACACAACGCACCACTCTTGTGGGAGGTTGGCGGTGACGTTGGCGTTTTGGTTGTTCATGAAGAGGTCAAACCAGAAGAAGACTGGCTGGCTGTCTTCCTTCCTTGCTTGCTCCTCTGCAAACTCGAGCAAGACGCTGAGCACGTCTGCGATCTTGTATCGCCATGCGTGCGACACAAACACGGTGGCCTTGCCCACATGTTCATGTGATGACTGCTTGCGCAAGAGATCGACGTAGGCGCAGTTGTCCTGCTGGGTGCGTGGGACCACGAGCTGCTTGCAGGCATCCTCCGTCGTCATCTCGGTGTACGTGTCGGGGAACTCGCTCTTCAAATCTGCGAGGAAGGCCTTGATCGCCTCCACAGACACGCCGTCCGTCAGACGGAGCTCACTGTCATCGTTGGCCATTGTTGTTCTATGGCGAAAGAAACATGATGGAGGACGTCCGGGCGACAAGTGGCCATGACCAGAGCCACTACCACCAGCACGAGAAGTTCCATTTTGGTGAGAGCGACTTCGGAGGCGGGGCTGCCTTTGGTATTGCTGCCGACGACGGTCACCTCAGCGACGGCTACGTCTCGGAGCCCTCGGGCTCACCGACCCACTGCCACGATGGCGCATATGGCACGCCGAGGTCAGGCCAGGACCTGGGCGTGCCCGTGCACGAGTACAACGAGTTTTGTGACTTTCCCGCAGACCAACTGGAAGACGACGACAGCGAGGGCAGCAGCCAACAAGACCAGGAGCAAGAGGCGCAAGAGGATCAAGACGAGCAAGAGGCACAAGAGGATCAACAGGCACAAGACGAGCAGGAGGCGCAAGAGGCGCTGGGAGACGCCAGCGGTGCAAGCACCACAGCAAGCACCACAGCAAGCACGGGGTCGTTGACACCAACGTCATCAACACACATTGACCGTGTCACTGGGATGACAGAGCCACAGACCCCTGCCATCTGTAAAGGCATGCCGGGAGACTTGCCGCCTCTGCCGCCCAAGCCGCCCAAGCTGCCACCCCGCCCACAGAACACAAAATCTGGCAGCGCGTTGACAAAGAGTGAGCGGGAGCTGAAGAAGCACGTGACCAAGGTGTTCAAGGAAGAAAACAACAAGCAAGGCCCCCAGCGCGCGACGCAAGTCAACGCGGTCTGGCCCCAAGTGCGATTTCTACTTCCGCCTCGGTGCGCTGGACGCAGGCAAGCGCGCCTTCAAGGTCATCAAGACGGAGCTGCAGAAGCTGAGGCGCCCGCACGACGGCAAGGTGCTGGCCGACCTCTACGTTGAGGAGCGACGGAAGCTGCAGAATCAGCGTTCCCAGGCCAAGAAGCGCGAGGCCGCCGCTGGGGAGATGTACGAGACCCAGTGCTGCAACGTCCAGCTCAAGCGCGCCATCTACGATGCCACATACGCGCTGCACGCGCTGAGTCGCATGCTGCACTAAACGCAGGTGGGACGTGGACGGACAAGAACGAAAGAAAGGAGAAACACAACCGAGCAAGCAGGGTGTGCTTGGGGGTGGTGGCGACGATGCAGACACGCAACGTCGTCGCGGGTTGCTCTCTGTCAGTCTGTCTTTGTCATCATCCCCGTTTGTAGTTTTTTTGTGCGTGGTTTGTTGTGTGGCGGTGCTTGCTCGCTTGCGCGTTGGCACGCCTATGCTTTTTCCGAGTCCCTTTTCTCCCCTTTTCTCCTCTCCTCGTCGCGTCATGTCCCATCACACCACCACGAATACCTACCAATTCCCTCATCCATTTTCCACTTGCTTGCAAGCAAGTAGCTGGATACGCTGCCATGCGTGCATGACTCGAGTCACCACGCATCTTTTCCCTTGCTACTTGCTTCTCGTGCTTGGAAGTGAGGATTTGCCCTTGGTGAGTGAACCTTGCTTCGTTTTTCCTTTCGATATGCGCGCACATCACCACGACTCTTCCTTTGTGAAGTGGTGTTCTGTTGCTGCTGCGCCCTGCCACGTGTTTTCACATGGCCGCGTACATTCTGCTCTTGGTTTCTTTGCTTCTGTCTTGATGAGTTCAGACTGCTGCAGGTTTCTGGCTGGCAGACTAGAGAGCAGACATAACGCTGGGATCAGTCGTGATGCAGGCAGGTTCTTCGGCGAGTTCTTGCGCGCCAGCGTGGCGTGTTACACCGCAACTTCAACCTTTCACGCGCCTTTCTTCTCATATTCAATGTTTCTCGCCTTGCCACTGGTGCTGTCATGTCACGACGACCCTGTGTCCAAAGGACTCCTAGACCCCTCGAAGTGGTTCACCCAACCGAACCACATACACACACACACACACACACACACACACACACACACACACACACACACACACACACACACACACACACATACACGCACACACACACACACGCGCGCGCGCGCGCACCGCACCGCACCGCGCACTACTGATGTGCATTGCCTCACGCCCCATTCCCAATGTGTTCGCATAGCACGGTTCACTTTTCCGTCACTGTCATTTGCATTTGTGGTTTATGTGGTGAGCAAAGTCATGCCACAATAAACGAGACGCCACCACCTTGCATTGGTCTAACACGATGGAACACCAGCAAGACTTTGAGAAAGTGACATGAAACCATCCAATACACAATCAGGCCGAGCACACATGTGGCTCTATCAACATAAAGGCCTTTACCTAAACCAGGTTCTGGCAAGCACCACACCAACGACCACACCAACAAGAGCGCATGCACCCCTTGTGAACACACCCAGTTTGCCCTCAGCCTCCTCAGCCCTGCGCTGAAGTTCACGCCGCTCAGCCTCCTCAGCCCTGCGTTGAAGTTCACGCCGCTCAGCCTCCTCAGCCCTGCGCTGAAGTTCACGCCGCTCAGCCTCCTCAGCCCTGCGCTGAAGTTCACGCCGCTCATCCTCGCTCTCGCTCTCGCTGGCTTCGCGTTGGAGTTTCTGGGCTCGAAATTTATCCGCTTTGAGCCGAACTTCGCCCAACCTCTTGTGTAGATTTTTCCAGTACAGCCTTGTCACAGTGCGCGCGTGCAATGGTGGGTTGTTGAAGTGGTTGAAGGAGGCAAATGCCTTGGCTGCTTCGGCTTTGATGTCCTTGGTGTCTTCGCCGTCACCAAAGAGGTTGCGCAGAGACGCGTCCAGGTTATGGTAGCTGTTGATGAAGTTCAACTTGTGCAGGAGCCTGCCTGCGTGCAGTTCTCGGAACCACTTCACGCTGTTAGCAGAAGCCATGGGCGTGTCGCAGATGTCCACCAACGAGCATTTCTCCAGCAAGCGGCGCAACTCGTCAAATTCCTTGTGGATGCGCGCACCCCGCAACACCACGATCAGCCCATCCTTGTGTGTCTTGTTCTCTTCGAGCAGAAGTTGGACTGCAGTCGTTACGTGTTCCAGATCATCGTCAAGAAGCGTGCAGGATGAGAGGTTCAGGCACAACACGCTGCCGGCTGGAATCTTTCCCATCCACTGCCGCAAATCTGCTTCCAGTGACGATATGGAGACTTGTCCTGGCAGGCGAAACTTGGACGAGATGTAACGGCCAGACACATCAAGCGTCTTCCAGTCTTCCAGAGTGGAGTAAGGTGGCGTGGCTGGATCTTCCTCTTGTGTTGGCGCCTCCACCGACATATCATCGGCGTGTCGCTTGAAAAGGCTTGCGGCCAAGTTCTGGAGCTCCTCCGGTAGAGGCTCTACCAACGTCTCAATATCAGCGACGGCCAGGTCTGGACGATAGTAGAATCCTATGAAGTCATTCAGGGCACTGTATTGCGGCCTTGATCTGCAGTCTGCTTGCAGCTTGTCTTGCCTCTGTTTGGGTGACGGCATGGTGGCTCTGATGTTCTTTCTGCTGGCTGCTGCTGGTGCGCACGCGCTGTCAAAATTGACTGAGCGACAACACAAAAAGCTGCCTCTTCTCATTGTGGCTACTACACTTCGTGCTGTTCCGATGTTTGCTGCCACACCACAAATTCCACCCTGGCACCAGAATCGAGAATTCAAAAACTAGGGGTTCCCATCACCAGAACTCACGCACAAAACCGCTGTAAATTCGATATATGGGATGACAAGAAATGCACAAACCACCTCGAACCCACACAATCCTCACCAAACCCACAATTTCTCGCTCCTGGCAACAATTGCAAAACTGGCCGGTGGCGCCACTTGGCCACGCGCCCGTCGCAAATCTCCGCGATTGTCGCACCTCACATCAACACCAAAAAAACCACACAAACCGTGGCATTTCTTGGCCAGCGAAACCGGAGCAAATTCCACACACGCTTTGCTGATTTGGCGTGCTCCTTCCTGCATTCTTCCTTCCTTCCTCCTTCCTTCCTCATCTCACTCACCACCACCAAACCTTGGCAACCTCACCTCGAACCTCTCTTCTTCCATCGTCTTGACCATGAGCACGGTCAATGTGAACGCCATGACTGAGCACGTCGCTGCTGAGGTGAGCACGGTAACTGGAGCTGGTGGTGGTGAGTGCTCTGGAGTCCACGTTTGGATACCCCGTCTGCAGCTATGTATGTGGGTGTTGTGCGACGACGAACCTTCCTTCTCCCTTCAGTCCCTGCCTGTTTCACTCCCTCACTCACTGCCAACGCCCTTGTTGTTGTGGTTTGTTGTGTTCAAGGATCCCACTGGGCAGGCGATTCTGGATGGGAAGATCCCAGCTGAGCTTGCTGGTGTCACTGAACCCGCTGGTGGACGCGAGGACGACATTGCTGCCCGCATTCTGGACGGCGAGATCACAAACGTGGATCAGATTGACGTTGGTGAGACTGTGAACGCTAACTATGCATCAGAGATGCTGCGGAACGCCAGCAAGAACACCACCACCAACGAGGAGGAGGCCGAGATGGCGCGCAAGATCCTCAATGGCGAGTACCCTTGACGCGTCCTGCTTGCCACAAGCATTATTTGATTTGGGTGATTCTGAGACGCGCATGTCTGTGTATGTGACTCTCTCCCCACACCTGCTTGTTGTGGTCGAGCAGTAGCCTAATTGTCAAGTTATAAGCGCACCAATACAAGAAGACAACAAGAAGACAAGCAAGCAAGCAAGCAAGCAAGCAAGCAAGCGTGCGTGAATGCGAGACTGAGAAATGTGGAAGAAGGACTGACTCCAAAACCAAAACAAAACCCCACACGCCAAACAACCAAACACACACACACGCGACATGGTGGGTGCTCGCGTGATTAAGGAGTTGCGGACACTGAGAAGGGACCCGGTGCCTCTGTGTTCCGTTGGCGCGCACGAGGACGGCGACTTGTCGCACTGGACAGCGCTCATGCTGGGGCCGCCAGGAACTCCCTACGAAGTGTGTGTGTGTGTGTGTGTGTGTGTGTGTGTGTGTGTGTGCGTGTGTGTGTGTGTGTGTGTGTGTGTGTGTGTGTGTGTGTGTGTGTGTGTGTGTGTGCGTGTGCTGCTTGTGTGTGTGTGTGTGTGTGCGTGTGCTGCTTGTGTGTGTGCTGTATGTGCGCGCGCGCATGTGTTGTGTGTGCGTGCGTGCGTGTTGTGTGGGTGCTGTCGTTGTGATCGTTGTTCGCACAAGCGCGCGCCTCTGCAGCTTACACTTATGAATGGGCGCTGCCCTCGTCCCGGCCCCGCCCCCACTTCGCCCTCCATCAATTGCCTCTATGTACAGGGTGGAGTGTTCCAACTGGATATCAAGCTACCGGAGCAATACCCGTTGAAGCCGCCAGCGGTACGGTTCATCACAAAGATCTACCACCCCAACATCAACGCCGGCGGCGGCATCTGCCTGGATATCCTCAAGTCCGAATGGAGTCCTGCATTGCAGGTGTCGCGCGTCATCCTTTCCATATGCTCGCTCCTCTGCGAACCAAATCCGGACGACCCGCTGGTTCCCGAGATTGCCCGCGTGTACATCAAGGACCGCGAAGCCTTCAACAAAACCGCGCGGGGGTGGACCTCCATCCACGCCCTCTGCTCTCCAGACAAGTTTGATTGATTACCTCACCATGCCGAGGCTGGGTGGGCGGATTGCTAGGTGTGCGATCAATCTCGCCCGTGTTAGGGGTTCCTCGCAGCGGGAAGCGCGCGCGCGTGTATGTGTGTGTGTGTGCGTGTGTGTGTGTGTGCGCGCGCGCGTGTGCCTTCCATCTTTGCTTGTGCACGTTTCTCTTCAGCTGCCAAACGCACCCCTGCTCTTCCTTGGCGCTTCATTCTGACTCCCAACGCTCGCGCTGTTCAGTGTTGGCTCCCTCTGACTTCCGTCGTCATTGTGTTTCATGTCATGTGAATACACATGCAACCGTGACAAAAGCATACACGAGCAAGAGCCAACACCACCATGATGAGAGGAGGAGGAGAAGGAGGAGGAGGAAGGTGGTGAAGGCTTCAGGTCAACAGGCATTGTGTGTGTGTGTGTGTGTGTGTGTGTGTGTGTGTGTGTGTGTGTGTGTGTGTGTGTGTGTGAACTACAAACGAGGTGAGTCGGGCCAGCGTGCGACTCTCGACGGGATACTGCAGGCGTGCCTGGAGATGATGTGTTTCGGAAACGCGGGTTCACCTCAGCTTGCCCTCCTTCTTCATTTGGCGGGTAAACTCGTCCAACTTTGCCTGCAGCAGCCGGAGCACCTCAATCTCCTCTGCGAGAGTCACGCGCTTGCCGTTGATGAGCCGCTGCTTCAGCTGCGGGTCCTCGTCAATCTCGTTCAGCACGCGCCGTATGTCTTCCTGGATCTCTGTCTTGTAGTCCATCCCCGGGGTCGGTAAAAGGTCCGCGCGGGGGGGGGGGGGGTGGTGGAAGGTGGTGGTTGTGAGGAATGGGCAGATATGCACAAGCAGGCGTGGACAGATATGCACAAGAAGACACACATCACACAGACACGCACGCACGCTTTCACAGCCACAGACATACAGACAACCACAGACACAGACACACACACACACACACACAACACACCTCGAGGCGGAGCATGTTGACGGTTGCGCGAAGCATGTTGTGGAGGCGCCAGAAGAGAAGGACGTCCGTGCAATGCAGCGAATTGCACGCTTGACATGCTGTGAACAACGTCATTCAATCCGCCACATGAAGCGCAATATACGGAGTGGTGAGGCGGTTGCACGGCACAATCACGTGAAGGGGAAACAACACCCGACACAGATACACCCCACATGCGGCCATCCTTGACAACTGCGGTGGTGTCACGCACCGTTTTCTTTGTATCCAAACTTGGACTGGCAGTATGCTGCACTGCGCAGGGCCGTGTCGAGGAAGTGCTGCTTGTACAGCAGATGGTAAACGCGCGTGATGTCGTCTGCAAATTTGTTCCCGGGGGGGGGGGGAAACAGCATGGAGGCATGCCAGGGCATGAAAGCATGTGAGCGAGTGAGCAAGGGATGGGAGGCACCAGAAACAGCGAAAAGCAAACGCACATTTCATAACAGACACACACACACACACACACACAGACACAGACACAGACACAGACACACAGACACACACAGACACA